AGACGTCAGCCAAAATGTTGAAATCAGGATTTTGGAAAGCTAAAATCTTGAGGTCTGCCAATATCTCTAGTTCGGGATGTTGGAAAGCTAAAATCGTGATGTTAGTTAAAATCTTGAATGCAGGATTCTTGAAAGCTAAAATCCTTAAGTCAGCAAAAATCTTGAATTCAGGATTTTGGAAAGCTAAGATCTTGAAGTCAGCCAAAATCTTGAATTTAGGATTTTCGAAAGCGAAAATCTTGAAGTCAGCGAAAATCTTCAACTCAGGATTTTGGAAAGCTGAAATCCTAAAGTCAGCAATAATCTTGAACTCGGAATTTTGGAAAGCTAAAATCTTGAAGTCAGCCAAAATCTTGAATTCAAGATTTTTTAAAGCTTATTTATATCTTCAAGTTCGCAAAAATCTTGAATTCAGGATTATGGAAAGCTAAAATCTTGAAGTCAGCCAAACTCTTAAGCTTAGGATTTTGGAGAGCTAAAATCTTGAAGTCAGCCAAAATCTTAAATTCATGATTTTGGAAAGCTAAAATCTTCAAGTAAGTGAAAATCTTGACTTTAGGATCTTGGAAAGCTAAATCTTGAAGTTCGTCAAAATCTTGAATTCAAAATTTTGGAAAGCTAACATCTTGACGACAGCCAAGATCTTGAATTCAAGCTCTAGGTGTATATTTTACTTATTACCAAAAATTGCTTAAAGTAAAGAAGTTTATAGAACGACTGGATTCAATTAAAAAACTTATTAATATATGGTCCGCTAGAGGCCAGTCGATGTACGGTAAGGTGACAATAATCAAATCTTTTCTTATTCCTATCCCTATCCCTCATTTGTTCGATCCTTCCAACTCCCAAGGAATGGCTAAAAGAATTGAATAAAATACTGTTTAAATTTCTCTGGAAAGGTGTAGATAAGGTAACAAGAGCTTCAGTTATAAACGATACGAAGAGGGAGGGCTAAGAATGTTTGATCTCGAGTGCATGGTTAAATCATCGAGATTAGCTTGGTTAAAACGTATCTTCAGTGGGACTAATGGAACTAGGAAAAGCTACCTACAACACATACTGAGTTCCGTCGGGGGATTGTTCTTTTTTAACTGCAACCACAATATCTCGGATTACACAATTCCTTTTCAATTTTATCAGGAACTTTTGTGTTTGCCACTGAAGAAGATTGGAAAACCATAATCTGGAATAACAAAGAAATACAAGTAGAAAACAAGCCGGTTTATTATAAACATTATGTTCATGCGAGAGTCATTTGCATTCAGGATCTTTCATTTAGTCTGAACAGTACTGATTCTTATAATCAACTGTCTAAAAAAATATGCAAAAAAAATATTAGAATGGGCTGGCTTACGCAGGTCCATTCGATTATCGTTAAGAAGTTATGACGGGTATCCTTCCATAAACTCACCAACATTTGTGGTGGGTGACAATAATTTTGATGTTACGAAAGAGAAATCAAAGGATTACTACAACCTACTCATCAGAGAAAAAGCTAAACGGCCCAATATTATTCGAAAATACGGAGTAACTTTCATTTTAACAGCGACAATCTGAAGCAAATAATTAAGCTGCCACACTCTATCGTTGTCGAATCGTATGTCAAAGCCTTCCAGTACAAAGTAATTAACTCAATTCTTTACGCAAATACAAAATTGTATAAAATAGGTTTTGGAACAAATGATTTATGTACTTTCTGTGACAATCAACCTGAATCATTAACCCATTTGTTCTATCACTGCTCAGGCTCTAAACAGTTTTGGATTGAATTTGAACTATATTGGTGCCTTATTTCGAATCAACGAATTCGTCTCTGTTTGGAAAATGTGCTCTTTGGAACTTTGACGGAAAATGCTTGCCCTTTACTTCAGTTGCTGAACTATTTTGTAATTATTGGAAAGCTCTATTTGTGGGACTGAAGGGGCAAACAAATCCTTTCAAACATTTATGGATTTAGAGCCAAGATCATCGCTAAATATGAAACAGAAGAAAAAGTCAGCAACAAAGAATTCTTTAAAAGAAAGTGGATACTGACACCTTATTTAAGTTAACTGTATTAACTCCGTATCATTTCATTGCCCTGTTGTACGTTTTTATAATTTCTTTTAGCCCTGTAAAAATTTGACAATTAATTTTGCTTTATTCTGTTAAAGTCTCTTGTGAAAGTGTTTTTTTTTGTTTTGTTTTTGTAGTATTGTAAATGTAATTATTGAATGTGAATATGAATGAACATATATATATATATATATAAACCTTTTTTTTAAAAAAAAAAGTTAAGTACGCACAAAGAGACAGCCACGATTTTAGAACAATGATTGCCATATAAACATCTAAATGACCCTAAATTACGTAAAGGAGATACATCATGTTTATTTTGATAATATTTTTTCCTTCTGTATTTGTGTTGGAATTCTGCCACTGTTTCACCTGTCAACAGGATTTTGGAAAGGTAAAATGTTGAAGTCAGCGAAAATGTTGAATTTAGGATTTTCGAAAGCGAAAATCTTGAAGTCAGCGAAAATCTTCAACTCAGGATTTTGGAAAGCTTTAATCTTTATGTCAGCCAAAATCTTGGTTTGAGCAAAAATCTTGAATTCAGGATTTTGGACAGCTAAAATCTTGAAGTGAACCAAAAATCTTGAATTGAGGATTTTGGAAAGCTAAAATCTTGAAGTCGCCCAAAATCTTGAATTCAGGATTTTGGAAAGCTAAAATCGTGAAGTCAGCCAAAATAGTGAATTCAGGATTTTGGAGAGCTAACATCTTGACGACAGCTAAGATCTTGAATTCAGGATATTGGAAAGCTAAAATCTTGAAGTCACCCAAAGTCTTGAATTCAGGATTTTGGAAAGCTGAAAACTTGAAGTCAGTAAAAATCTTAAATTTAGGAGTTTGGAAAGCTAAGACGTTGAAGTTAGCCAAAATCATGAATTCAGGATTTTAGAAAGCTGAGATCTTGAAGTCAGTGAAATTTAAAATTCAGGATCTTGGAAAGCTAAAATGTTGAGATCAGCCAATATTTTGAATTCAGGATTTTGGAAACCTAAAATTTTGAAGTCAGCCAAAATCTTGAATTCAGGATTTTGGAACGCTAAAATCTTGAAGTCAGCGAAATCTAAAATTTAGGATCTTGGGAGGCTAAAATGTTGAGGTCAGCCAATATTTTGAATTCACTTTTTCGGAAATCTACAATTTTGAAGTCAGCCAAAATCTTGAATTTAGGATTTTGGAAAGCTAAAATCTTGAATTCTGGCAAAATCTTGAATTCAGGATTATGGAAAGCTAAAATCTTGAAGTCAGCCAAAATCTCGAATTTAGGATCTTGGAGAGGTAAAATCTAAAGGTCGGCCGATCCTTGAATTTAGGATTTTGGAAAGCTAAAATCTTCGATTAAATCAAAATCTTGAATTTAGGATTTTGGAAAGCTAAAATGTTGAAGTCAGTCAAAATCTTGAATTCAGGATTTTGGAAAGGTAAAATCTTACAGTCGGCGAAAATCTTGAATTGAAGATTTTGGAAAGCTAAAATCTTAAAGTCAGCCAAAATCTTTAATTTAGGATTTTGGAAAGCTAAAATCTTGAAGTAAGCTAAAATTTGGAAGTTAAGATTTCAGAAAGCAAAAATCTGGAGGTCAGGGAAAATCTTGAATTTAGTATTTTGGAAAGCTAAAATCTTGAAGTCAGCAAAAATCGTGAGTTCAGGATTTTCGAAAACTAAAATCTTGAAGAAAGCCAAATCTTGAATTCAGGATTTTGCTTTCTAAAACTTGAATTTAGGATTTTGGCGTTTTAAAATTTTCAGATCGGTATTGTGGCTTTCCAAAATCTCGAGTTCAGGATTTTGGCTTTCCATAATCTTAAGCTCAGAGTTTTGGCGTTCCAAAATCTTAAATTTATGATTTTTGCTTCTTTTTTTCAGCATTTTGACTTTCCAAAAGTCTTGAATTCAGGGTTTTGATGGTCTAACATCTTGACTTTAGGATTTTGGGTTTCCAAAATCTTGAAATCAGTATTTTCGCTTTTGAAAATCTTGAATTTAGGATTTTGTCTTTCGAAAATCTTGTTTTCAGGATTTTTTTCTTCTCAAAATCTTGAATTCAGGATTTTGGGTTTCCAAATCTGCGTTTTGATCTTCTAACATCTTGGCCTTAGGATTTTGGACTCCCAAAATCTTGAATAGAGGATTTTGGGCTTGGAAAATTTTGAATTCAGGGTTTTGGTTTTTCAAATATTGAATTTATGATTTTGGTTTCGAAGTTATGGTTTTGGGTTTCCATCATAGCGAGCTGCACGATCTAGGAAACCAAAAAAGCCTCAGTATCCAGCTTAGAAAGCTGCGTAAAAGTCAGCTTTCTCAGGTGGATACCCGGTAGCTTGCATTATTGCCTATTTTATTAATATCTTATCGTATTCCGCACCTAATATGATGGAGGCGTCTATTTTCACACAATCATGTCATCATCCTAGGGCGAGAAATATAATTAACTAAAAGCGTGGTATCTAAAAAAAATGTACGGCTTTGATTTCTTAAAAAATAATTCAGTGCCGTCTAAAAAGAAACATTAAAGTCTTCGGTCGATCTCATTGCCAACACAGGCAAAAACTATCTATAGTTCAATATTGCCCGATTTTGTTAGTGCTCCTGTGATAAAATGGGGTGCAGATGCACGAAGATTTATTGAGGTCATTCTTTTTTAATTGCTGAATGTACTCTACTCAAGATTACATCATGCATGAAGCATCTATGTACATATATTGTATGTCAAGCTAGACGTACCATGACACCCCCTTTTCCTTTTTGATGAAAGAAGCTGTAATTACATTCAAATGAAAAAATGAAGAGAACCTTTAGAAAATGATAATTAACGCCAATCGAGTCGGTCACACGTCTATCAAACCACAACAGGAACTAGGAACAGTCTGATGGGTGTAACGGGGAACCCAATGTCAATAATAAAAATAGTTTTACTCAGATGTCTTTGTTTGTCTCTGTTTAATCTTTAAACTTGGTTGGAAACAGGGTGATGCGTCCTGTTCTTGTACCTTGCTCTTTGACTGGTCGCCAGTTCTTTCACTGGCTACGACGGCTCCGACTGGCTTACGATCAGCTTGCTTCTCACTGCAAGGTAGCTTGGAACTAGGTAATTTCTGCACTTTCTAGAAGTTAACAGAAAAACAAGAAACAACATAGACAACAAATCATGGAGAATATTGGATATGGCCTGGGTGCAACGTTATAACCCACTTTAATTGTACCCAAAAAATAAAACACTACAGTAAATGAAATTAAACTAAAGCCTACATGTAAGTGTGCCAGGGTGGCCAGAAAAAACCTGTCCCAAAAAAACCCGTAGGGAAAAAAGCACAGCAAATCTGGGGCAGGCCAGGTGCAACTTACGTCCCTCGCCAGGACTCTAAAGAAATTACTCAGAATTGCAACTTTACAGACAAAAGCAAGATTTTCTAATAAAACCATTACACGTGTATACTGGAAAATAAACTAAAACTTGTATACCTCTGGACTGAAAGTGACTTCGATAAGGCTAAGCGCCATCAATTACACGCAAATTCTGGAAAATATTCTGAAATATATCTAAATCTCTATGAAATACACCTGGACTGAAACTGATCTAGATACGGAGAGCTCGTTAAGACCATGCCGAAAATGCCTATGCTGGCTTAGTGGACTCGCACCTCCAACCGGCGTGGATATCCGACAAATCACCTGCTATTCTCCTACAAGTTGGATTGAGGGTCTCGTCAGACTCGCCCCCACTTGTGGGTGCCGTACTTACTAAGAAACATCACTAACTAATGGCTTGATATGCCTCTTAAACTCGCCTCCTAAATAACGTGAATAAAGAAAGACTTGCAATAGAATGAAAGTATAATGTACCGTACTCCTAAGATTGAGCTTGGACAATTCTACGAACTAATGGAAACGCAGAGGAGGACTGAAGCGAGAACTTAATAAAACACTACGTCTCAGCTACGGGACAAGGCCTTAGAGTTCAAAATAGATCGACACATAAATCGACATAAAACTATTACATGTATATATTTTAGATGGAAAACAACGCGATTTAGAGGCAAAATCTGCAGAAATCGCATTACAGAACTAACAGATAGCAGGTACTTAGGCGCTCAAGCCTAGCTTCTTTTGGCGTTCTCTAATTTAAAGGGAAACTCAAGCAATGGGTGGCTAACAGAACAAACTTAAATACCAGCCACTGCATGGCCCCAATTTATACTGTAAACAGGAGATTGTAAATAAGATGCGCCAGTGTTATCCACAGAACTCTAAGATAGATAGATAGATACAATGAGACATGCAAAGGCTTTTCGAATAGAAGAAACACCAGTCTTCGATAAAGCCACTCACGCCACCACATTAAGCCAGACCCGTATCTTCAAGACTGTGGATGGAGCGTTAGCATCCAACTGTAAACCAGTCAGGCCTGGAACTGTATCCCTCAGCGAAGAGTCAGTCAGGGGGGCTGTTTTAAGCCATAACCTGGAATTTAGGGCAACTGAAATAAAAGAAATAGCGTAAAAATAAAGCAACTACAGCGCTATTTACTTAACTGAACAAAAAACATTGGACAAGGGAGGCGCTGAGCAAAATATTCGCGCAAAGAAGAATTGAAATTACAGGTCCAAAACGAGCCGACACCATTGAAATGACTTGAAACATGCCCAATCAGCCTCTAAAATGAGCTAAAGCTGACTCACAGATATGCCAAATCAGACTCACAACTCAAGCCAAAGCAGGCTCACAGATATGCCAAATCAGGCTAAAAAATAAGCCAAATCAGGCTCACATGCCATACAAATGTGCCAAACCGGGCACACAAATATATCAAATCAGGCTCAAAACAGGCGACCACTACAACACCCACTGGAAAGGAAATCCAGTTATCCTTTCCACTCAGTCTCGGACAAAGGCTTTGGTCACACCTACAACGAGGAGAAGCAAAGTAGGAGTCAAAACGCGGAAGCTGAGCGCTCTATAATAGAATGTGCAACGGTTAAGATTCGTGCGAGGACTCCATTGGGCTTCAACGACTCCAAACACATAGAGATTAACTGGCGAATCATCCTTGTCAAAGAAACGTCGCAAAGGATCAGCCTTACCGTTGAGCGATCTAGGAATCCACTGTGCTTCCAAGACAATACCATGCGAAAACAAACAAGAAAAGCGCTTAGAGCCACCGACTGTATGGACCTTAAAGACACCAAAGGAAAGTACTCTGGCAGCACTCTGGTTGTCAGAGAAAAGTTTCACCCTCCTTTGCTTTAACTGCTCTACAAAAGAAAGCAAAACATAATATTAAATAACTATCAAATTCCCCAAAATAGAACTTTGACCCAAATAATCGACCGAATGGAGTTACCGTTTAAAGAATCTATGTCACAAAAACGAAAACTTCAATTCCACCAGCCGAGGGGGAGTGAAACGAAAAAGGTGATCCTAAGCCGATGAAGACTCTATAGCTACCTACGTCTGGCTTGTACGAAGATGGGAATGGGCCCCACCGCTGTCGAGGCAAGTGAAATAATGGAACCAGCCATCCCAGCTGCTATGCGATAGAAAGATGACTCATTGTGAATTGCAGAATTCGGCCAAAGCCGCTACACTAGCTGAAGACTTGCTTCTCGGGAATCTAAAACGTAAAACAAATAGTGCACACCGCAAACCCGAGTCACTTAGGAGTTCTCCTTACCAATTAGGAAACCGGAAGAATAAACCCCTTGCGCTCAATAAAAGCTACCGGGCGGCGGAAGTCCTCTGACATGACTACCAATTGCGTCATCGAGATAAACAAGAAACTTCAGACCCATAGAAAGCCAGTAAAACAAAAACAAACGCTTAACTAGACCAAAGACTAAAATCGAGAAAGCGAACTACCAAAGCACACCATTGAAGGGCCAAGAAAAACCTATATACTTATGGTGTTCTAAGGAAATGTCGATCCAGATTGTAGGTCCCATTCATAGCCTCGTTGCCCCTCTTCAAGAACATGCGATAAGGTACGAAAAGTCCCGTATTTAACGAACGAGGTAGCAGTTTACGTGACTGCATAAGATCGATGACGACTGCTACTGTCAGAATGGAGGCTCACCATGCTCCATAATACAGCCATTGGCTAAAAATTCGGAAGTGGGCAATGGTAGCAACAGCGAACTGAGGTGCTTTTAAGCGGGACTCACAAAGCCTAAAGGAGGACTTAAAGCGACCTTAAATAACTCCTGATCAGATATCCCCAGGAAAAATTCTTCGGAAACACTTAATTAATTCAAATCACACTCATCTGAGGATTGACAAATGAATCCTTTTCTTCATCTATATTGTAGCCAGTAACGGCGAGGGTTGGTCATTGAAATGAAGAAAAAGATGTGAGCAAAAGCCGAACTCCAGTCACTAGAAAACAAAACAAACAATATTTTCAATAAGCTGAGAAATTCAAAGTAACAAAAAAAAAATCAGACTGTGGCTTGTTAGGCGTTCACAGACCCGAAGGACGAATACGAATGAACAAGACACTTATATAACTGTATGCAAAATACTTAACACCAAGAATACAGAAACACAAACAGACCAGATAATACACGTAATTAACCATATAAGAACGTGCAGAAAACAAATATCTGCTAAACTGCGTACCGCAGATATTTTTGCATTATCTCGTGTTGGTACACTGCCCTTAGGGCTACCTTCTGCCAACTGAGGAGACGTTATTGCCCTGACGTTGGGTACGTGTGTACCTTTGGAACTTTGTACCGGGGTCAATGTACGTGGAAGGTTACTGCCGGCCGAAGGGGGTACATTTACTTCGCTCTGACTCCTTGGTCTCAGGTGCTCCATAGTTCTCTGGTAGATTGTTCCTTGAATGTCCACTGTGTAAGTTCCAGGGCTCTCTATTGGCTGTGGTCTATTAAGCAAAGTTCCCGGCTGCGAGATATTCTTCAAGGTGTTGCAGACGAACTTTGGTTCTCGGTTACTAAGGGACCTCTTGTCACTACCAGCCCTTCTGTCATAGAATACCGCCTACCTTTCTTGACGTCTCTCGTTAGCTTCTTAGTGAAGGTCATTATCCAGGTGTTTGGATGCCAGTGCTTTTCCGCTGCCTGGGAGTGTTGTTTTTGGTTTACGTCCAAACAGCAACTCGTGGGGTGATGGCATTCGGTCATCAAGAGGGGTCGTGCGATATGTCGACAATGCTGTGAGCGGACATTCTTTCCCCCCTAGTGCTTTCAGCAACAGCAACTGGGAGGTTCCAATTGCTCTCTCTTTCAGGCTGTTGGCTTCATGGTGGACTGGGGAACTACAACATAGCGTGCTGCCGCTTTCTTTGCGTTTAATTTTTTTTTTTTAGATCCGAAGTCGGCCACGATAGTGGCTGGTCGGCCGTATTCTGCCAGGATGCTTGTACAGTGGTTGCACACGGTGTGCATGGTCATGTTGTTGACGAGTCTTATCACAGGGAAGCTTGAAAAGTGATCGATGACCATTAAGTAGTTCTCCCCGTTAAATTCAAAGATGTCTGTGTCGAGATTCTCCCATGGCCGGGTAGGAAGGTCTGGCTGCAAGATTTGTAGTTTGGGCTGAGCTGGCTGGTGTTTGTTACATGGGTCGCAGGTCTTCTCCATCCGCCGGATATCAGTAGAGATGTAGGGCACGAACACCGAATCTCTAGCTCGGAGGATATATTTGTTCTCTCCTTGTTTCCCTTGGTGGATTGGTTGACGGATTTTGTTTCTCATGGATGCTGGTACGACGATCCTGTTGCCTTTGAGCAATAGGCCATCCTCTATTGTGAGGTCACCTCGGAAGTTCCAAAACTCCCATAGTTCCTGCTGGCATTGCTTCCCTTAAGGAGGCCAGCCATTGAAGATGGTATTCTTCAGAAGGTTCTCTGTAGTATCTAGTACCATAGAGGACTTCACTGCTTTTAGGTCAATACGGGTGGATATGAAGTGGATATTACGCTGTGATACGTAGTCTTCTGTCATACTCTTAGTGGTAGGTGCTGCTATCCCGTGACAAACTCGCGACAGGGCATCGGCGACTGGAATGGATCTTCCTTGCTTGTACTGCACATTGACATCAAATCGTAGGCGTCTAAGGAGTAGCCTTTGCAACCAGCTAGGAGCCTCATTGATGTTCTTCTTAAAATTTGTTCCAAAGGGGAATTGTCAGTTTCAACAGCCACGTTCCACCGAGCAGGAAGTACCCAAACTTCCCTAGGCCATGTGTGAGTGCCAGGCACTCGCACTCAAGATTTGAACATCTTGACTCGGTTTCTTTGAGTGACCGGGACGCCATCGCGACAATGTGCTCGTTTGCTTGAGAGTTTAACTGTAACAGCCAGGCCCCAATGCCTGTTTTCCTTGCCTCACACTGAAGGGTTGTGGGTGTTTTCGGTTCTGGGTCATAATAGGAGATAAGTTCGGGGGTGCAGAGTTCTTGCTTAATCCTATTGAGTGCCTGCTGATAGCTCCAAGCTAAAATGGACGTGCTTCTTGGTTAGTTCTCTTAGTACTGATGTTAGGTCAGCTAGGTTTGTCGAGAAACGGTTCAAGTAAGTGACCATGCCCAGGATGGTCTGAAGCTCCCCTGTGTTTGGTGGGCTCTTTATGTTGCCAACTGCCTGAAGTTTTTCCTTCGCTTGTTGAATTCCGTTCTCTGTAAGAGTGTGTCCGTAGAAGTCGACTTGTGTCTGCTTGAACTACAGCTTTTTAGAGTATAGGCTCATCTTGTGTTTGCGAGTGGCTTTGAGCATTTCACAGAAGGCTTGGTCGTGCCCTGCTTCGAGTAGCCACATACGACGATGTCGTCTGCAATCCCCATTACGTTGGGGATGTGCCTGTAGACCTCATCGAGTTTGTGTTGGAAGATGTCTTGGGAGAGCTTGACCCCGAAGGGTAATAATTTCAAACGGTACCGTCCGAAGTTGGTGCTAAATGTGCAAAGCAGGATTGACTCTTGGTTCAAGGGTCGACGACGGAGAAGAATTTCTTACCATATAGCTGCGATTACTCTGGGGCTTTGTATAAGCTTCGAGCGCAGCAATAACTGGATCAATTTTGAGGTTGTCGCCATCGCTGGCCCACATGGTCGTATTATAGATTTCGAGGCGTTTATCGCCAATCCATGACAGCAGCAATCTCACTTTGTTCGCCTCTTCGACTTTGTCGAGCGGTCCTTTGAAAATAAGTTCGCATCTCCGTTGGAAGAGTTTGAATCACTTGTGAATGTCCTCTGAAGTGGTCCAATCCTTAGACGGTGGTTTGAATCGATCTGCCATGTTGTTTGTGAATGCTCGATGTAACTGAATTTTGTGCTTCCCTACTTTTGTTGGTAGTGATGCATGTCCCAATGCGTTAAATGTTTCGAGTGGAGGATCCAGTATCTTCTCAGGCTCTCACTTCTGACACCATGTGATAAAATGGGATGCATATGCACGAAGATTCATTGAAGTCATTCTTTATTAATTGGTGAATGTGCTCTACTGAAGATTACATCATGTATGAAGCATGCATTCCCATATATAGTGTATCATGCGAGACGTACCATGAAAGTTCCCCTTGTTGTAGTTCGTTGCTGTATAGTACATTTACATAGATTAAGTACGACGAAAAGATAGTATTTCTTCCTTTCTACTGGTGGAAATGCTAAACGTGTTATATAGAAGCGCTCAGCCATAACTATACGCCAGGACTTCTACCTGAGTGAACCAAAAAGGACATAGAACAAGTGCCAAATTTTTTTTCGGTTACGAGTGAAAATGCTAAACGTGTTATATATCCTAGAAGCGTTCAGGCATAAGTATATGCCAGGGATTTTACCTGGTTGAACCAGAAAGGATAGAGAACAACTGCCTAATTTTTGTCTATGCGTCGAAATGCTAAACGTTTTATACATCCTAGAAGCGCTCAAGCATAATTATTTCCAAGTCCTCTACCTGGATGAGCCAGAAAGGACAACTGTCTAATTTTTTTCGGCTACGGGTCGAAAAAATAAACGTGATATATATCCTAGAAGCGCTCAGGCATAATAACATCATGCCAGGACTTCTACCTGGATGAACCCGGGAGGATATAGAACAACTGCGTAATTTTTTTTCGGCCACGGGTCGAAATGCTAAACCTGTTGTATATCCTAAAAGCGCTCAGGCGTTATGACATCATGCCAGGAGTTCTACCTAGATGAACCAGAAAGGATATAGAACAACTGCCTAATTTATGTTTTCCGGCTACGGATGGAAATGCTAAACGTGTTGTATATCCCAGGAGCGCTCAGGCATAATTATATGCCAGGACTTCTTCTTGGGTGACCTACAAAGGATACAGGACAACTGCCTCATTAATTTTTGTTTTCAACGCGTCGAAATGCTACTCGTGTTATATATCCTACAAGCGCTCAGGCATAATACAATATGCCAGACCTTCTACCTGAATGAACCAGGAATGATATAGAACAACTGCTTAATTTTTTTTCTACGCGTCAAAATGCCAAACGTGTTATATATCCTAGAAGCACTCGGGCATAATAAAATATCCCACGACTTCTTTCTGGGTGAACCAGAAAGGGTAAAGAAAAACTACTTATTTTTTTTTTGCTGCTACGGGTCAAAATACTAGACGTGTTATATATCCCAGAGGAGTTCAGGCATAATTACATGCCAGGATTTCCACCTGGATGAACCAGAAAGAACTTCTGTATTTTTTAGTTTTCCGGCTACGATTTGGAGTGCTAAGCGTGTTACACATCCTAGGAGCGCAGGCAGAAGTATATGCCCGGACTTCTAACTGGATGAACAAGAAAGGATATAAAACAATTGCCTAATTTTTTATTTAGGCTGCGTGTCGAAATGCTAAACGTGTTATATATCCTAGAAGCGCTCAGCCATAATTATATGCCACGATATCTGCAACTGAGTTTGCGGTGCGCAAGAAGCAAGATGGGATAAATGTAAATACAGTATAGGCATTTACCCGACTTGGAAGCAGATATTACTTTGTTCGCCCAAGTAATCACTGCCGTCATTTTATCTGTTCACAACGACAAAGTTAAACTTATGATTTGTTAATGAGTATATCAAATCACTGATATCTTTAAGGAAAAGTGCATTGTTGCACGGTTGCGCGGGAACTGTTGTGCCAGAAAATGTATAATTCAGACCTGCATCTCCACAAGCAGTTTGCTTTCTTGGAATCTTGTGCCACTTCCCATAAACAAACACCTTGCTGTTGGCATTGTACTTTATCCCTTTTTCTGCTTCTTGGAAGAGGGCATCAGCCTCGGATTTAGAGAAGAGGCGAATGTAATCAAGATTCAGGTTTTTAACTGTTATCCTTTTCCAGTGAAGATTCTGTTTTCTATTAATTTGAAGAAACAACAGTTTTGAGTTTGGAGAAGTTTGATTTGAGCCACTAGCCACATCATATGTCCCATACATTAAGGCAACTTTGTGATTCTGATTACACTTGCTTCCCTCCACATCTTGCTTTCGTTTTGCATTTTAGATCTTGTTGCAGTAAAGTATGAATCAATCATTTTCTTTTTTGCACAACAAACAACACCTGAACAACCTTACCACTTTCACAGTTGGAAAACGTTTGGTATGTGCGACCACTGACCAGCTAGGTTTGCAGGCTTCTTTTGCACAAAATGCACCTTTTACAGAATTCTGCGCGAATTTGAGCAGGATGGACTGGGTTAGAGAATAAACCAACATGGCGGACAGCACTCGAGCATTTTTCGAGAGCGTTCTTTCATCACATCAGTGCCAGTCTCATTGTGAGTTTTGCTCACAGAATATTTTCAAATACACCCTCCCTCGTTGTAATGCTCGTTATTGCTGCAGTACCTGTTATAAGAGCCAAAAACACCGGCAATGTTCAGAACTGTTTTACAAAGAGTGCGTCATGACAACGTTGAGTGAACAAGAAGTAGGCAGTGAAAGTAAACGAAAAATTCTTGAAATGTCAAGGAAGCTAGGGGAAGAAGATAGAGAAGCGAACAGTGGTTTTGTCACTGACGATTTCGAGGAACAATTGGGCGAGATCGACCTTAACACGACTGATGCTGAGGTTATTTGGTCGGCCATGACCGAGAAGGAGAAAAAGCAATTCGAAGCGGCTGTAGAAACTCGACATATTTACGAAATGATTGACATTTGGGTCCCATGGTGGAGTCCAAGATGTGATACTCAAAACAGGCTAGTTCTGAAACTTTCACCTGTCACTTTTTTCAGGGGACGGGTAGAGGGCAAATGTGGTCGTTTACCACAATTTTCCCCCATTCACATTGCAATAGGGTAAAGTTGTTCGAGCATCATCCATCGACAACATTTTTCCATGGTCTGTATTCTTATCGGCCTTAGAAGACGTCAAAATGATTAAAGTTTTCACTGCAAAGTTTTGTACATTTTGACATCATTAATATTTTCTATGTT